TCAGTCTTGCTTTGGTCCCTTTCTATCCCCCATTTCTATCTTTTGGAATGACAATGTCTACCCTGTGCTATTGTATCCTGAAAGTATGTAACTTTCTTTTCATTTGTACAGGAGCATGCAACTAAGAGTGTGCTTTAAGTCTCAGAGGAGACTTGAAACTTGGACTTATCAACAATGCCAAAACTGTTAGAATTTTAACAACTCTTAGAGATGGACTAAAAAATGCATCTTGGATAAAGAGGTTTTCATAAGTCTTTCGGAGGTCATGGGGGGAATGTTATGGTTTATATCAACATAAAATCCTCATGTACTCATAGGTGGGATTAAGGGATGAGATTGGATTATGGGAGTGTGATAGTCATCAGATGGATTAGCCCACTGAGTTTAAAGCAGAATGGCTAAATGTGATGGTGGAAAGTGAAGCCTAAAGGGAAGAGGTGGGTCGCCTGTCCTGTGGCTTTGAAGCCAACAACATAGACTGTCTGAGGAAATCTGCAAACAATGAGCAAAGCTGGCCCAAGAGAGAAGCTTTTCCCCTCCTCCTTTGTTTGCTTTCTCTACTTCCTGCTACCGCGTCATAAATTGTTTCTCCCCTGCTATGGCCCTCTGCCAACTCACTCTGCCTTGGAGCCGGCCAACTACAGACTGAAACCGCCACAAACTGTGAGCAAAATAAACCTTTCTTCTTTAAAGTTATGGGTATTCAGTATTGTGTTTCAACAATGAGGAAGTAACTAAGACAAAAAAAAAAAAAAAATCACCACTAGCCTAGGATATGCTTCAGCCGGGGGACCTGCTGTGTCGCTTCAGAGGGTACAGGGAGGGCCTGAGCAAGAAAGTCTCACCCAGGACCAGCCCCCACACTGGATACTTAGTGACTCTGCTGCAGCATCTTGCGTCAGCAAAGAGCTAGCCAGCCAAACCACAGCAGCGCAGCAATCACATGGAAACTGAAAGACACTTGCTGGGAGGCATTTTCCTACCCAGACTGGCCAGGCCCAAACTGCTCTGCAGTCATGGGAGTGCTGTGTACATCTTTAATCATGGCTGCAGCAAATGCACCCTTTGCCTCAGGAACCAGGGCCTTCAGTGTCACAGCGTAGTGAAAATACAGAGATGATTCCCAGAGGGTTCTGGGGTTATGGACTGACAAACCATTGTGTGAGAATCACCACGATCACTCCATGGCTACCCCCATCATGACTGGTACATCACAAGGGATGCAGACACACATGGGGCTACCAGGGTGCCCTCCAGCCTTTTCCTTGACTTTCTCTTCCTCCACCTACCTCTCTTCCTCCGGATCACCAAAGTCTTAACTACCTGGTTGATGGAAATGTGAATATCCTCTTCATCATATGGGAAAGGAAAAAGGAGTGGTGTCACAACACTTACCTACTTCCCCTTCACAGAGCAGGACAGTAGAACACACAGTGCTCCTTCCTGGCCTCAGAACAGTGTGTCCAGCAGCACCTGTGTACTTCACTGCTCTCCAGGAGTCCCTGGGTCTCCCACCACACCCAGTTCTCATAAGACCAGATTGCCCATCCCTCAGAGCCTGGTGGTGCAGTAAGAAGGGTACCACAAGTGGCCAGACATAGCACAGGGAGGCTGCTGCAATCAAGTCCCTGCAGAGGCAGTATGGCCTGCCTGCACAGCTGGAGGCCAGGAATCTGGAGCTCAGAGAATGAGAGAGAGAGGGATAAGGCCATGACACCTACACCATGTAGACTAAAGAATGGAAGAGAGATGAGAAGGCCTGGCACATCTGTCTGCTAGGGCCTTGCTTTTGAAACAAATAAACCTGAGCATGGTGGTACATACCTATACTCCCAGCTACTTGGGAGGCTGAGATAAGAGGATCATTTGAGTCCAGGAATAGGAGACCACAGTGTACAATATAGCCAGATCTTACCTCAATTAAAAGAAGAATGAGAAGAGGAAATGAGTATCAGGAGGAAGACGAGGAGGAGAAGAGGAAAGGAAAAAGGAGGAAGAGAAGGAGAAAAAGAGGAAATTGAGGGGGAATGAATAAGAAGGGGAAGACCCCCCAATTAACTTAAACAAAAAGGAATTGGTGTATATTATTGTTAAATCTGCAAAATTACTAGCTTGAAAAATGCACTGGGGACCATAGTGGCAGTTTGCTGGGCACCAAGGTGTAAGGGCTAATTGCTGACCACAGCACTCTCTGACTGTGTCAGGGAAACCTCACATTCACAGTCTCTGAGGACAAGATAATACTGCAGCTGCAGCTCACTCTCCCTCAGACAATTCAAAGGCAATGAACTGCCAACCTTAGAGATCAGACAGATCTCCCAATCAGCACCATTTACTGCTTAAGATGTCTGTGTTCTACTTCTCAAAGCCTTGCTTATTTTTGCAGGTTTTTGCCTCAGATGTGCCCTCCACTTCCTGCACGCCCCCCCCAAATTATTAAGGACCCAATAAATATGGACAGTCCAGAGAAGACTTCATCTTAGTTCCCAGAGAGTTGGGGGAGGCAGTCCAAGGCGTGTCTGGGCTCCTTACAGACCATATTTACATTTTATCTTTATTCAGTCCTTTTCTGGATGTTTGTCAATAAGATCTGGAGGCGGACCAGCTTCTGATTAGCAGTTGCTGCTCAAAGGCACAATTGTAGAATCCAAACTTTCCTATCAGATGGGATTCTACTCCAAGGTTCTCTGAACTGACTCAGAACCTGACCCAAACGATTACAAATAGGTGTGGCATCTGCAGGCCACAGATGTGCCCCAAACAGATATGTGAATCTCCAGGCTCACCCCCACAGGCCCTGCTGAACGTCCTGTGGCCAGAGTGAGGGGAAGCAGCTGACAGTCGAGAACTGACAATCATATTTTACTGCTAGTTCCCCTAAGGGCTCTCTTCTGACCACAAGCCTTCTCACTAGACCCAGGGCTTCACGGCAGTTCTGGAGCCTGAAACCGCTTTAGAGGGACAGGCCCACCATACTTTTCTCCGTGTTGTCAATTGTTTAGAAAGGGAGATTCACATACTCTATGGAGACCACACAGGCAGGTGCCAGGGGAGTTCAGGGTCCTGGAGGCACATATAGCAAACTCCAGGGGAAAAAATGGAGAAATTAGAATTACATCTAACACCGCATGCTTAAACATGTAGAAAGAGGACGTGTCATGCAGTATTGTGAAATTTTCTCAGATGTCTTATGCAACACAATTGCACTACATACTTGGTAATGTGAAGCATCTCCAGGGTCAGAACTGGAAAGCGAAAGGAGCAAGAAATGAATGTTCAGCCTGCCAAGACTTTACTTAGGCCTGAGCCTATTGCTTCTATTCTGTGGAAGCATAAGAATTTGGTGGATTAGCAGACTTTGAAGAGTCCTGGCTTATAAATTGAACCTGAACCTAAGCAAGCTTTCAGATCTAATCATTATTTTACAGAAAAAACTAGAGGCAGACAATATATTCAGCAATAGGATAAATATATAATAGAATTTGAAAAGTTCTATATAAGAATGGCCTTATTGTA